TAGGAGCAAAGAAAAAGTGAGTAATGGCTAAGGTGTAAACATAACTTTAAAGATAATGGAGAATGCCAAGCAAAGCAACGGCATCCCAGAATGACCCAGCCTCAGTGGAAGGAAGACTTAGAAATGCTTAGATATAAAAGCACAAGCTCAATGGAAGGCATGCTAGCTGGTGGATCTGCAGCAAGGGTGATCTGTGTGGCAAAGTGGAAGAGAGGGGTTGAAGACCAGTGCTAATGTAGGGGAAATGCCTAATATGATATAAAAAAAGACAGTCTTCGGGCCCTCCTTCGGGTTGCAGTGGGTTGAAGCACAGCATTGAGAAGCTGATGCCACCTCAGCATGAGTTCGATATCTGCCCGGGAGGTGAACCACATGGTGCGGCAGACCTCTCCTTACCCACAGGCAGCTTCACTCCGCAGAGTACCTCATCAGTTTGCCAGTTCTGCTCCCCACTCCATCTCTGGTGAGTCCTCTCACCGCCCCTACAGCTCTGGCCTGTACCCCATGCATAAATAAATAGATCAATAATAAAAAAAAATAAAAAGACAGTCTTCTTTATTGGTACCTCTATATATTTGAGAAGAATGAGGAGGAAGAGGACGAGGGGTGAAAGAGACTGAACCAGAGGGAGGGGAGAGACATGGAAGCACATGATGGCTTAGAAGCCTAGACAGGGCCAGCCAGGCAAGAGGGCTGACTTTGTGTTCAGCAGTGGCTCGAGAGTCTTCAATTTCAGTATAATTCTACTCTTTTTCTTGATATTTTCTTCTGTTCCCCATGTCTTCATTTCTACTATTAATCAGAAGAGTCCTTTCCTCAGATTAATGTGTCTTGCTTAGTTTCAGCGGGATTCAGAAAAGCCTCTTTCTTTTTTTGACATGTTAACATGTATATAGTCCACTATATTTTGGTCCTGTGCCGTACAGCTGTTTAAATATTTTTTCTATCACTTCACTGACATGTCTCTGTGGGATTATTTTGCAAGTAATGTTCTGTTATGACTTACCTTTATTATATATATATAATTTTTGGTCTTTTTGAACTTTTCCCATATCTTTGCATTTTAATATAAGTTGAGAATCTTCTTTTTGAGTTTTAAACATGTTTTCCAGGAACTTTTGTCACACTGTGAACCGAGCATTTGTGTTGTCCTGACTTGAGTTTATTCACTTGCCTCCTTTTGTTTATTTCTGAAAAGTCCTTTTACTTCCTCTTTCCTATTCTAAAGCACAGTGTTCTCTGCAGTTCCTGCCATCATGCTTCTCTCCGCCTCATCGACTCCCCATCTCACTGCAAATCTCAGTAGTAAACATATGTTCTCCCTTGTCTATACCTCTTAATTTCTCTTTTCCACTGTTAATGCTTTCTCTGTAATTGTGTTATTTAACTTTGTTAAGCATTTTATAATATGAAAGATGTGGTTGAAAATAAAGTTGTATTCTAATAAAATCATGTCCTATAAAGCAAATTGTTTCCCAAGGAATACAAAAGTCTCATGATACAAGTTAAAGTGACTGTTGTTTTGTATTCTTTGATTATGCTATTAGTATTAAAGTTTTATCTGTTGGGGAGAATTTCTCAATCAATTTGGTAAGTGGTTGAATTAAACAATAAAATGAAATTCACCCTATTTCTAATTATGACTTTTTGTTAAAGGAGAAATAATATTTTTATATGTTGTGAGAGCCTTTTTTAAGAAGTAGTATTTTGAATAAATTGGCAGAAAACATCTCCCTAAGTTATATTTTATAATTGCTTTTCTGGACAAATTTAGTGTACAAGACTAATATTTATGTGTGCCAGGTGGGGAAATCATTTTGCCTTTCAATCCCATTTTCCTCATAAAATAGAGTTATTGTATTTTGTACATTTGGTTCAGTGCCCATTGGGATATTCATTGGCTACCACAAATTGCCTCCATACCTTGGCAAAAGTCCAGACAGTACATGGGCAGTTTGGACTTCTGCATTGGCCTTGCTGCCCGCATGAGTCCTGAGACGATGACTCTATTCTCTTTTTTCAGCTTCATTTCCTAGGGAAAAGTAGAGGGAGCTATCCTTTCTTCTCCATATGTTCTTCCCCATTCCCCAAACACTTAATGTATCATCTTAGTAGAGTGGAAAGGAGTTCAGAATCAATGAAGGATATTAACTATGCATTTGGTTTTGCACATTCCTTTTGTTTTATTTTCAATAGCAAGTTTTAACTTTACTACATTTCCAACCAGTGTTCTTGGTTTTCCTTCTTTTACATTTTTGTTGTTTTAGCTTTAGCTTACCAAAAATTAACTCAAGATAATTGTGATCCATAGTTGGAAAAATCAAAGTATGCCATTTACATTTCTATACTGCATTAGTTGGAAGATATTATGCTTAGCATGTTTACATACATTACCTTCATGCAAAGTTTTACTTTAAATACAACTGAAAAACTATTTTGCTCATGAGACATACTTGCTCCTTTTGATATTATTCCACAAACTAAAATGCCAAAATCTGGCTGGGAAATAGCTATAGTGTTTGTGACTTTGCATGTCAAATAGAATTTTATTTTCACAATATATCCCTATCTTTTAGTCAAGAATGATTACAAAAGCTCACATGAATGATGATAACCTTATTTTGCATATGTTTCTTTGTTTTATAAAACTTTTGCTTCCTAATAAATGCAGCTCATGGGAAAAGTGAAGTAACTTGGTTGAAGCAATTTATAGATATCTGTGGAATGAGAGGTGATGTCCAAAAATTATGCAATCAAACTCATCCATCTACCTTGCCAAATGGTTTTCTATCCTTCCCTTGAAGAGTTCCAGAAATAAAAACATCCAGTCTTTTAAATTAACTTAATTTGTCAATTGAGTGAAATACCTGTCTGACTGTTATTCCAAAGTTTCATTTTTAGAATTAATTTCACTGTTTCCTTCTAAGAGAAGGGCCAAGTGACTTCCTTGGAAAGTCAGATTCCTAGCTTACCTTGGGGCCTATTTTGAAGTGAGTTATATATGGTAAAAGAAAGGGCTGTGATCTTTCAGATTTTGGTGTTAAAGGGTTTGAGATAGGATCAATTGTACAGTTTTTTCTATTTGACAGATTTATACTTGGTGTAGGTGACATGTTTAAATAAAGAAGTGATATAATTAGATCAGTTTTCCCCCCCCACATTTACAACATGACCTTTACTTTAGTACCTGTTGTTAGATTTCTGGAGGTGAGTCTGATTCCTTGATTCATCATACATCAGTACTGAAATATGTGCTGAAGAAGAATCACCCTATTTATTTTCGAACTTGCTTTGTTACTTTTCTCCAGAAAGTGTTGCTCAGGGTGTTGTATTTTATTATTCTTGGGGTGCAAATTCCCCCATTTAGTGAGTCAGCCTGCTGACTGACCCTTGTTATTTCTCTCATGGTCAGTAAGTCTTTGCTGTGGTGCAGCATCCTTAGCAAGGGTCTAGTTTGTCCTGTGTTGTGTACATGTCCCCAAAAAGAGTTTCACACCTGTTCCTGCCAGGATCTAAAGTTTTAACCATTTAAGAGCTACTTTTTCATTTTTGGCTTGAGGGTGGGGCAGGGATTTTAAACCATGAAGATAGTTTGGATTTAGATGTACATACCCTATGCTTGGTACAAGCCTTATAATAAGGTTCTGATTTACTGCTGGTGACTTCCTTGTCTCAGTTGATGTCTTGTCTGCTAGGGCTGGGCCAGGTAACCGAGTTTTCACTTTCCTGGTTTCATGAAAAGGGTCACCTTTCATGAAGGTCCTTTCAAAAGTGGCCAGTGGCTTGAAATAATCTCTCTACAGATGACTGCAAGTCCCCTGATAACCATTAAGGCCTGTGATGATTCCATGAAACATTCATCTTAGCTCCTGATCTCTGTTCTTTGACTTTCTTCTTCTCACACCTGTGGATTTTCCTTACTTGTTCCAGCTCATTACATTGTTTAATGGTTCACTGGTTCAGATGTATCATGCATTTCAGTAGTTTGGGTGCTATTGGTGTTGAGTGGCGGAAGGGTTCTGTTATGTAATTTTAAATTGCTTTAGACGTTTGTAAATTTTTGTTTGCTCATCAACTTTTCAGTCTAAATATATCAAGTGTTTTGTATCTACTATGTGTTGAGTACTTTAAGAAATTAAGATTTTCACCACATTCTCTCTGTGACTAACCTTAGTCTAATATAGAACTTGTAGAGCTAAGGTACAAGTCTGATGAAAAGGAGGTACCAGTAGGCACCAGGCAGTAAGCTTCGTTATGTGAAATAAAGTGGGTTGAGGAATGAATGCTAGGGGTAATGAAGTTAAAGTAAAGCTTGAAGGGTGCTTAAACTTGTCTGAGTTTACTGGTTTAGATAAGAAAAGGTGGGTCTAGCTGCGTAAGATCCATGCAGCATCATATCAAGAAATTTAGATTGTATCTTGTAGGTAAGAAAATTCACTTGAGGCTTTTGAGTGGGAAAGATGCTTAATGCTTTGTAATCTTAATGCTAAACTTTTGAAAGGCTAACACATAGTCCTACTGTAAAGAAGCTGGCATGTTCCCATATTCTTTTACTCAGGAGTTAAACTCAAGTGTTCACTAGTTCAAGAATAAGTGTTTACTTTCCTTGTGTGTCTGGGCAAGATGCTACTACCTTAGGGACAGCTTTGGCTTCTTCTAATGGAATCCTCTTGATTGTTAAAGGAATTGTTTATAAACAAGTCCAGATTTCCCAAAATACTGTTTGACACCAGCAAAGTGTGTCTGCATGTGTAGTTTGGTCCATCTGTGGGTTTGCAACCACAAAGTAAAAAGAGTTCTTTTCAAAAATTATATATGTCATAAAATTAAAAATAGAATAAACATTAAAAATTATTTACAAAATTCAGAAAAACGTGTCTGTTCAGTGTGGGAATTTTGTATCTAATGAGTAGTTATCGATCTACAATGTGGAGTACCTTTTATGATATATTTGACCTAAGTTAGAACTAAAAATATTTTCTAAAACGCTTGTCTTACAGATTAAAAGCATGTCACATTTCAGCATTTGTACCTGAAATCAGCATGCAAATTTCAGGCCACATGGATGAGTGCCAACTTTTGCATTTCCTGTGTGTATCCCGTGATCATTCTATCTGGGGTGAGTGATTTCTAAGAGCAGCTGGCAAAAGACCAGATATCAGCCAGCCGTGAACTTCCCTAACAAATAAAGCTAAGAGTTATAAATTAAATACTGTCTGGTGATCTGTGGTGTGTAAGGTTGTTAATTTAGTTGGTCTGGATTAGCTGTCAGCCCAGAAGACTATATTCCTATGTATTATGTTTGGAAGAAAATAATTAATTGACATTAGGAAATCGTGTTAAAATGTGAAATTATAGCATTGTCTAAGATTCTTTTAGACTTAGCAGTATATCGATGGCTCATCATCTATTTAACAATTTTAATTTTAAAATTTCAAGGACTTAGTATTTATTGAAAGATTGTTATAATTATCTGTGACGTTGGGGTTTTTGTATCATACATCTTTCATTGCTTTACTATATCAACTTTGTCCCTCATGTAGCATAAAGTTGTATACATTTTCAGTTTTAGGATTCTTAAAAATATATTACATCAGTCACACCAGAAGGCTCAATGACAGTTTAAAACTTGTATTTTCAGTTTCATTGTGGGAAATTACATTGTGAAAAAGCTTGTTTGTTACCTTATCCATGCATTTTTGTGCTTATTTAAATTATTTTACTTCACCAAATCATTCATTTTTGTAGAACATCCTTCAAAGAGTTCATGCGTCTTACTGAGGACACCTGACCTTTTGAAGCTTCATAATTCACATCTAGATGTCACCAGTCTTTCCCATGTTAACAGTTCTGACTATGTTTTATTATCTCTGCCTCCGGCGCCGAGCCAGGACCGCTACAAGAGGAGAAATGATGAACAGCCATAGAACTATAGAATCAAACAGCCGGACTTCTCCTCTCAATGCAGAGGTAGTCCAGTATGCCAAAGAAGTAGTGGATTTCAGTTCCCATTATGGAAGTGAGAATAGTATGTCCTATACCATGTGGAATTTGGCAGGCATACCAAATGTATTCCCAAGTTCTGGTGACTTCACTCAGACAGCTGTGTTTCGAACGTATGGAACATGGTGGGACAGGTGTCCTAGTGCCACCTTGCCATTCAAGAGAACACCGCCTAATTTTCAGAGCCAAGATTACGTGGAACTTACTTTTGAACAACAGGTGTATCCTACAGCTGTTCATGTTCTGGAAACCTATCATCCTGGAGCAGTCATTAGAATTCTAGCTTGTTCTGCAAACCCCTACTCCCCAAGTCCACCAGCTGAAGTAAGGTAAGATTCATTTTTCCATGCCCTGGTTATAGCTGATAGGTTTTGGTTATTTTTTTTTTTAAAGATTTATTTTATTTATGCATACAGAACTGGGGTACAGGCTAGAGGTGCAGAGGCAGTAAGAGGATTCACCAGAGATAGAGTGGGGAGCAGAACAGGCAGATTGAGGAAGTACACTGTTGAGAGGTGCAGCGGGCGGGTCGGGAGAGGTCTGCAGAGACATGTGGGCATCTCCCGGGCAGGGGATCAAACTCGCTCTGAAGCAGCTGCGGCTCGCTTGCAGTACTGTGTCCTAACCCGTCGGGCTACCAGTGAGGACCCCAGGGTTTGGTTATTTTAATATCGAAGATCCTTATTTATTGGAGGAATACTCATGGAGTTTAGAAATTTAAAAGTTCCTAGATTTCTGATAAAGAAAACTTACACATGTGAAGATTTACTGCTTTTTATAATATCTTACTGTATTGTTCATGGACTGTGAGAATTTACCATAAGTGAAAAGCACAACTTGAATGAATTAGAGCATGGATCAGTCTAAGTTAACAGGAAATATACTTTATAAATATTTTCAAACAGGCATTATGGTATTGCTTTTAAATACTGTGAATAATTTGAGGTAAGCCTATGAAGTGATAGTTTAGAAAAGGTCTTTAGAACAATAGCTTTAAGATTAGGTAGATATTTTTGTAACAAGCATATTTATATAAAAATAAATATTGCTTTAAGTGATTCTTGCATTCTCTGTAAAAAACTGTTTATGGATGTCATTACAGCAATTGGTATAGCAGTGCCTCTCTCTTGTTTTTGTAGTTCAGCCTTCTGAATTTTATAATATAAATATTTGAGTTGGTGATATATACTAATCACTCAGTTTTCTAAAAAGTACATAATGTGTTCTTGTATGGGTCCTGTTTTCCATGTGCCTAGAACCATGCCTCCCACACAGAGATCACTTTTAAAAATATTTTTCAGTTTCTATATACAGATAAAAGCAAATGCAAGTGTTTGTACTGAAAAATAAGCACATTATTCACATTTCCTGTGTCTTATTTGTTTCACTTATTAATGTACATTAGTCCTTTTTGTAGGAGTCCAGAGAGCTTTCTCATCCTTTTCTACAGTTGCATATACTATACAGTGTATCTGTACGTGAACTTATTAACCACCTCCCTATTGTTTCCATACTTTCACTATAGTAAACATTAATAGAATGAAAATCTTGTAATAAGTCACTTTACATGTTTTTAAGTTTATCCCGTGGGATAAATTTCCAGAAGGATTGCTGGTCTACAGGTAGCTGCATTTGTAATTTTGATGTACAGTTCCAGTTTTCCCTCCAGAGGCTCTATCCATTTATATTCCAACTAGCATGTATATGCATTCATATTTTGCCAAAGTCTCACTTGCAGACCATGTTGATAAATGTTAATACTTCTGTAGATTTCTTAAGTGAACAATTGTTACCTTTAAGTTCTTTTACTCTGAATTTGACTGTCTTCATTTTTAAGTGTACTTTTATATTAACTTTTTTCCTTGATCTCCTGATCTTATTATTTGCCCAGTTTTTCTGTTTGCTGTTGATTTTAGACCTTCATGTTACTCATTTATTAAATGTTATGTTCTGGGTATTAAGGGAAGATGAGTGAATAATGAACATAGACAAAATCCCTGCCTTTATGAACTTCTTGTAGGCCAAAGCAGTTTGTGCACACCTATAAGACCCCACCTGCCAGTGGAGGAGAAGTAGGGGCAGGGACCTGTTCCCTCTTCTGGGGCACACTGCTTTGTGGGAGCCTTGTCCCATCAACTCTAAGGAAACATCCCCTAGCCTACCAGGGAACAAATGCAGGGTACAATTAATGCACACTAGAGACTGCTGGTAAAATCTTAGACATTTCAAAACTGCCTTGATAATTCGTTGTGAGTGAATTATTAATGAATCAATTTCCAAAAAGAACAGAAAATCGGCATCCTTTAATATACAGATTTTTTTTTTTTCTTGAGAAGAATAAAATAATTACCTTGGACAAGTTTATCTATAAGAATTATTTTGTTGGACTCTTCCTCTTTTTTACAAAGTTATCTACTTTTTTCTTAAAAACTGAATAGATTTGAAGATAAGATCTATAAAAATATGTGATATCTTTCTGCTAGTTAAAACTTAATATCTGTATAACTGATTTTGAGTAGATGGGTTCCTGAGAGTTGTAGTGTATGATTGTGAAGAAGGTATCTTTAACTTGCTTAGCTGATTTTCAGTTTTATTCTACAAAAATTCTTATTAAATTTGAAAAGAAAAGGTTCTTAGCCAGTATATATTATTAAAGAATTTTAAAAACATATTATTTATTGTACTGATTATATCAAAATATTTTTCATTTTAAAAATTACTAGAAAATAAAATACCAGAAAATCACAGAGAACCCTTGCAGTGAAGAGAAATACTTTATCTATGGCCTCATAAATGTCATCATTAAAGAAGAGGCTTACTTGAGAGCTGAGGGTGAGGCTTTAGTTTGGAAAGGAAAGGTGGAGAGATTACAGTGCTAGCAAGGATAAAACCTTAAAGAGAGAGACCGTGGTGTTCCAAGAAGTGAGAGAAGTCCGAGCGCAGAGAACATGATGGGTCACAAGATGGGAGTGTCATTCTTAACCTCTAAACTAGTGGTTCCTAGACTTCAGGATTCCAGAGAGCTCTGGGATCCAACTTCTCGGACTTGAGAGGACTGTTGTATGAATGAGTGTGAGTGTGCTATACTACTCTCAGGAAACTGATAAGGGAGTAGGAAAGCCATAGGATGAGGTAAGGGTAAACAGGAATGTAATTTCAAGTGTCATTCCAGGCAGTCTGGAGGTAGAATTTGCTAGGGAACTGATCTCCTCCAGTACCCATGAGCTGATCTCATGTACCCATCAGTCTTGGGCTGTGGATTGGGAAGCAGAAAAGGGAAGGGAACTCTACTATACACATGCCACTGTCTGGATGAAGAGGTTCGAGGAGCACAGGCAGTGCTCAGAAGGAGGCTGCTGGTGGAAGTCCTTATGAGCCATGCAAACACATCAGGAAAGTAGGCACACAGAACTGAGCAGGACATCTCAGTGAGCACAGAGAGGGAGAGTTGGGTACTATAAACTAATACACATAATAGTGATGATGATAATAAAAATTAGAGAACTGTCATAACAGTTCTCTTTGATAAATAAGCACAGATAGAAAAGACAAGTGAAATACCAACATCATTTATAATCACCATCATTTCATGAAAGAGATCTGTTTTTACTGAGGTATTAGCATAATCAGAATCTTCAATAAAGAAGGGAGCAATGTTTAAGGTATGTGTATTTTTAATGTGTATGTGTATTTCCTATTTTTTACATTAAGTCACAGGAAGGTCCATCACACGTTATTGTTTGGGAGACCTGGCTCTATACTCCCTATTGTTTTAATTGGATTATACCACCCGAGTTGTTAACAGAGTGTGTTGGAATAGCTCAGGAATTGGCTTGCAGGAAATGGACTTTTGGTCTAGAACACTCAACATTTAAGGGCACTCTTGCCTCATTTCATCGTGTTTGGTTTCTTTCTTCAGTGAGTGAAGCAGAAAAATAAGTTTGAACAAACTGGAAATATTGGAAGTTATTTTGAATTATCTTATTCTTGACCATTTTGTGTAGTAGACTAATATATAATTAGAGTAGGGTATTTCTGTTCAGATCAGTGCATCTCTTTGGTTGTATGTTATTCTTTCATAATTTATATTATAATGTAATTTAAGCTATGCATGGGGAACATATATTGTCTGTGTACTTATGTATTGTGAAACACCTGGCAGAGGTGATTTCTTAATAATCTTCAGTGTTTCTGTTAAACTCAAAAAAACCCTCACCAAAGTTAGGCAGGAAAGCAGATGGGTTTATTTCACATGTGTTGTGACCAGTGTTAGCAGTTGATTTCACAGGGTCCTAAGTGCTTCTTGTTTTTTGGATACAAGATATTCCTCCAATATCATGTCATTTTGCTGGAGCAACAAAAGGAACAAAACCAAAGATTGAATTTTCCCATGCATTCTGCCACTTACTCTGTGATTCCTGGAAATATGCTCTCCAAAATTAGGAATGTGTTTCACCACATAGTTTTAACATTGTCATGCTGTGTTGCCCTCGACACCTGATGGCTAGCACTATTTAACTGTACTGATTGTCACTAGAGTGTTCAAATAAGTTACGCTGTTAGGAACCCTTAAAATTCTTGCAGTTAAACTGTAGGAGAACTTCTTAGTTCTAGGCTGGCACTCTTAGGTTTGCTTTTCTGTCTTGTGACAGGAAGAACTCCATATCTGGTCTGTTTTTCTGTCCTCTTTAAACCTTCAAAAATCTGCTATCTTATAGGGAAGCCTTCCCCTCCATCCCACGATTGGTTATTTCTACTTTTAGGTTGTTACTGAATACAAATCCTCAAAGTTCTTTATGTTTGACAGTTCTATTCCTAATTTTCAGGAAATAATCAGCAAAACCACAAACATGGGGTGATTGTAAACTTCTGTTTATTGCAGAAATTCTTACTGTTTTGATTAGCAATGTGTTTACTAGGATCCCCACTGAGCTTCTGCCTTATATTTTTGTTCCTAAAGGAAAAACTACCATATACTGTTTACCATTTCATTCTCCTGCCACTAGTGCCATATGCTGTTCTTGCCCCCATCTTGGTCTGAGGACCATTATGGTAACTGCACATTGATGACTGCTGAAGTTTGGGCTCAGTTTCTCTACAGCTTCACATTCTTTTGATTTTTTTTTTCAGTTTCCTATATGACTTGCCATAATCAGTTTTTATTAAGATTGTAATATATTTTGGGGCCACGGGAATGAATTAACAGTATATTGGAGGGGGGAAAAAAACTTCATACAATTTATAAGTATATGAAAACATTGTCGTGCTATTAGTAACCAATGAATTAAAAATTATATCATAAGAAACTATGGCTCTCTATGAAATTAGAGATTATTCTTTTATTTATTTATATGCACAAGGACTGGGATACAAGCCAGAGGTGTAGGGGTGTGTAAGAGATTTCATCAGAGATAGAGTGGGGAGTAGTACAGGCAGATCTACTGAAATACTCTGCTGAGGGTAGCAGTGGGAATGTCAGGAGAGATTTGCCAGCCCCCTGGCTGGGGATAGAATTCATGCTGCAGTGTCTGTGGAGAGCTTCACAGTGCTACATTTTAACCCATTGCACCACCATAGAGGACCCTGAAATTAGAGATTATTCTTAAATCTATATACAGTGATTTTAGCTCTGTACAGCAAAAGAGTCATTAGCCAAAAAAAGGGACACCCTACTGTTAAGAAGAAAAATTTTGTACTCCATATAATTGATAAGGAACTGATCACAAAGATCTGTAAAGAACTTACATGACTCAGCAAAAACAAAGTAAACAATCTAGTCCAGTCAAAAAATGGGCAGAAGAACTAAAAAGAAATCACTAAAGAGGAAGTACAAATGAACAGTAAGTATATGAAAAAATGGTCAACATCTCTTATAATCAGGGAAATACAAATCAAAACCATAATGAGATACCACCTCACACCAGTGAGAATGGCACATTTAAAAAAAAAAAAACCTAGCAACAACATATGCTGATGAGGATGTGTAGAAAAGGAACTCTCCTACACTGCTAGTGGATATGCAAACTCACCCAACCACTTTAGAAAGCTGTGCAGAGGTTCCTTAAATGACTAAAAATGGAACTGCTACATGACCCTGCAATTCCACTCCTAGGAACCTACCCAAAAGACACAAAAATATTAATTCAAAAGGATACCTGAATCCCTGTATGTATTGCATCACTATAATAGGTAAGATATGGAAACAATCTAATGCCCAAAAATAGGGGACCAAATTAAGAAGTGGTATATATGCACGATGGAATACTACTCAGCAATCAAAAAGGTAAGCTCATGGCATTCACAGCAACATGGATGGTGCTCAATAAATTAAGTCAGAAGACAAAAGAAAAATATCAGGTAATTTCATTTATAGAAGGAATACAGGGGGACCAACTAAGGGGTGATGGTGCATGGATAAATTGGTGGTGGGGACTATACCTGAGAGGAGAAAGCATTGGACGAAAGTGAAAAATGATGTAAAATATATATACCTAAATAAATTAATATAATATATGTAATGCTTTTAGTGATCTGATATATTGTTGGCATAAACTTCCTCAAAAATAGTTTATAGTATGTATTAAATAGAAACAAAATATTCTTAGTTCTTGACAGAAAATATTTATTAAAAAGTTCTTATGGGCCCTCCCTGGTGGCGCAGCGGGTTAAAGCACTGCACTGAGAAGCTTAAGCCACTTCCGCATGAGTTCCATTCCTGCCTGCCCCAGAGGAGTCCACATGGCAAGACAGACCTCTCCTGACCCGCCCGCTGCTCCCCTTAGCAGTGTACTTCGTCGATCTGCCTGTTCTGCTCCCCTCTCTGTCTCTGGTGAATCCTCTCACTGCCCCTGCACTCTGGCCTGTACCCATCTTAAAAAAAAAGCTAACAGTAATGGGAATTTAGGGAAAGGGCATATATAAGACACCTTCATAAAAAGTTTGACAACACTTGATGAACAAATAAAAATAAAGCAAAAAATTTTAAAGATTGTTTTATGACACCAGTAACAGAAATGGAAAGATTCGAATAGTGTACATTTGTGAGGCAAGATCATTTGTTTAGTTTCTGCCATTGGTTAGGACATTTACAGAGGAGAGCTTTATTTGTGTTCTGTATTCTTACTTCTGGTTTGCTTTTTTCTGCAGAATTAATATTCCTAATGTACATTAGGAATATTCCAATTTTTTAACTTACCTATGTGAAATCTGCCAGAAAGGACCTCCTAGATAGTTAAAAAATAATTTTTTTAAGATTTATTTATTTATGCATATAAGAGCTGGGGTGTAGGCCAGAGGTGTGGGGTATGTGTGAGGGGATGCACCAGAGACAGAGTGAGGAGCAGAACAGAAAGACTGATTGAAATATACTGCTGAGGGGAGCAGGAGGTGAGACCTGAGAGGGTTGTTCCATGTGGGTCAGCTCCCTGGCCAGGGATTAAACTCATGTTGCAGTGGCTGCCAATAGCTTCATAGATCTGAGACTAACCCCTTGCACTACTTGGGAGGCCCCTATAAAAATAGTTTAAGTAATTATATCTTTGGCATTTAGGTTTTAAAGCTTTAATTCTGAAAATAATATTGTGTTTGCTTCTAGTTACCTTATTTAACATCTTTGCTTTATACTGTAACCTATTGGGCCTGGGGCCATAACCTTAGGGGAACAGTAGAACTCATTCTAAACTGTATTATAGGGAAGTTTCTTTCTTTGGCAGATGGGAGATTCTTTGGTCAGAGGGACCTACGAAGGTGAATGCTTCCCAGGCTCGCCAGTTTAAACCTTGTATTAAGCAGATAAATTTTCCCACAAATCTTATACGGCTGGAAGTAAATAGTTCTCTTCTGGATTATTACACTGAATTAGATGCAGTTGTACTACATGGTATGAAGGAAAAGTCAGTGCTTTCTCTCAAGACTTCACTTGTTGACATGAATGACTTAGAAGATGACTATGAAGAAAAGGATGCTTGTGGGATGGACAATCTTAACAAAAAGTTGAGTAGTGCTGCCCTCAGAGAAGGGCCAAGTAATGGATATTTTGATAAACTACCTTATGAGGTAAGTCACAAATATTCATTAGCAATATTGTACATAACACAACTATTTTTAAATATTTAGGTATTAATATTTATTTTGCTAAATAGTAGAGAAGTAGGAGCACTGGTAATGTGTACCTAATCTGATGTATATTTTGATTTGGGAAAAACTAGACAGTAAGTAATTTCACCACTTGCATTTTAATTGACTAGTGATTATGGGTAGACTATTAAATATATGCCATTGTACCAGTAATTAACAATATCCAAAATATATAAACTCATAATAAGTTATATTATTATTACTGTGTAATAATAATACAATCAAATATGGATAATATGTTACCTTATGCCAGTTATGTTAGAAATGATTTGGTATTAAAAATAAGGCTGTTAATTAGATTGTGAATGGGGAATGTTTATTTACTAGTCTACAAATTCATCTAAAGTCCTTTATTCTGTATTAACTCTATTCTTATAATTGGCTATAATTTTTGGTCTAGGCAGGTGTAGAGTACCTTTATCTAAAGACTTGTTTCTCATGTCTCTACAGGGACATTTCTGCAGTATATTTAGTGTCCCTGGCTCCTAAGCAACAAATATATCAAATAGTACTCCCCTAGGGGGTACCGGTAGGGTCAGGCAATTCTGTACTCTGCTTAGAGCTGCTGGATGTAGTTAAAAATAAGCTAATAAAATTTCTGTAAAAAAATTATGGATTCAAATTTTAACAAGTTTAGGCTATTCCTCTTCCATATTGGTGGGTATTTCAGGTTTCATTGTAAGAACATTATAAGCTTCACTTATAGGGTACAGTAAGACAGCTTTTTGAATGGCTAACAGTTGCTGAGGCCCTTACAATATTTTACAGTTAAAAATGTTATTGCCAGTCTTGTGAAGTAGCCACATAAAAATGAAGTTAAGGGCCCAAAAGTAACTCAATAAGTAAATCTCTGGGTTAGAGTCCAGCCCAACCTGGGTAAATTAAGTTTTGTTTATGGAAAGATGTCATGGATTGGCTCAGACTTGTAAGACCCTTACAAGGAAGAGTAAGACAAGGAGAGAGAGGAAAGACCCTTACAAGGAAGAGTTGAGTTGGGGGGCGGGGGGTGGGCAGTGAAGTATTGGATATGGACGGTGTTATTCCCCAGGACTCTAAAGAAGATCTTTCTTGGCCGTAGAGGGGCTGTTTATTTGGAGGGGAGTAAATAATTTCTTTGATTTCTCACTCTTTCCTAAAATTAGAAAATAGAAATTTAAATTAAATCCAGTATGTAACCTTGAATTAGTTTTTTTTAGTGGAATCCTTAGGGTTTTCTATGTGTATTATCATGTCATCAGCATCATCTAATTTTTTCCCAATTTGGATGCTTTTCATATCTTTCTTTTACCTGATTGCTCTAGCGAGGACTTCCAGTACAGTATTGAATGGTAGTGGTGAAAATAGTCATCCTTTTCTTGTAACTGTTAGAGGAAATGCTTTCAGTTTTTCACCATTTAACATGATGTTAGTTATGGACTTGCCATATATGGACTATGTTATGTTTAGGTATGTTCTTTCTCTTCCCATTCTTTGAGAATTTTTATAATATAAATGGATATTGGATCTTGTCAAATGTTGTCTGTATATCTGTTGATATGATCATATGATTTTTATCTTTACTTTTGTTGATTTGATGAATTAAGTTGAATTTCAGATGTTGAACCATCCTTGCATCCCTAGAATAAATCCCACTTGGTTATGATGTATAATCCTTGTAATGTATAGTCAAATTTGGTTTACTCAAGATTTTTGAGGATTTTTACATCTATGATGAATGGTATATTTGTAAATATTATTTTCCATAAAAAATAGAAACTACATCAGTGAGATGTTAATTGAATTAATATATCACATCTATAAAATGGGGCGGGATGAATTTTTATATGCAGACATCAGTAGATAGAGATATTATAAGATTTGAAAGTAAAAAGGGAGAAACTTCTAATATTATACCCTTTTTAAATATTTGGACTTTCCATATTTTACCTGAATTGTTTTTTGTTTGCTTAGTATTTTACTTGAAAACAGTTTGCATGTCATATGGATGATAGGATTTTAAAACTAATTTTTAATTTCTTTGTTTTTATAAGACATACACACACACACACACACACACACTATTGTTATTATTTAAATACCTAGTTCAACTGTTAAAAATAGAGGTAGAAATACCCCAACCTTTACTACATCAAATATATGTATTAGACAGTAATGGTCATATTTTAGATACACTATAAACTTGTTCTAAAGATCATGTTGTGATTATTTTGTGATATCTTACCCTGTAACGGTGAAATTCTGAATGAAAAATTAATATTGGACCTACGTAGTTAACCAAATTGAAGGAGAGCATTTAAGTTAAAAGGAATATTTGAAAAACAAAATTAAAATGTAGCTAGATAAATATACTTCACTAGGTTAAAAAAAGTTAACCTCATTCATTGAAAAATTTAGGAAAGACTTGATTCTTTTTCTTTAGGTTTTTGTATTCCAAATAAAACTATTTAGTTCTTTGGAAATTTAGGATGCCCCAGCTGTTCACTATCAATAAAAAATAAATATTGGCCTAGTGCAAGAAAATATTTGATAAGAGATAAAAATCTTTTTGATTCTATCTTCTTAATACATTTTTTTGTGTGTTTGCTGCTCCATCATTACAGCTAGCTGCCTTAAAATTCTGTTTTACTTTTCTTGGAATTCTGCAATAGCCTCATGGCTGGTTTCCCTTCCTACCTCCAGTAGCACCCCATGAATGATTGTTCTCAGATAAAAAATTTGACCATTTCACTCTGTTGTTTAAGTCCCGTCATGACTCCTCACTGCTTTCTGGATAAATCCAGACTCCTCTATGAGGCTAGTTGTAACCGGACCCTTACTACCAAGTAGTCTTTCTTCCTCTGAGTTTACCTCCCCCCTTTAAAACTGAGCATTGCTGGTACATGCACACTTTCACTTTGGTGTCAGTGTCTTGTGTTAGGCTCTAGCAGCAGTCTGTGTTTTTACTAAAGCTATTTAAATACTCTATGTCTCAACCCACACTGGCCCCTGAAAACTCTGAAATTGGGAACTCTGTTATCAAGGTTTGGTATATAGTAGTCATGCAGTGAATGCCAGTTCATAAAAAATTATATTAGTCAGCAAACTACCAAAGTATATTTTTGCACTGTGAACGATTTTTTTTTTAAAAGATTTATTTATTTATGCATATAGAACTGGGGTACATGCCAGAGGTGCAGGGGGTGGTGAGAGGATTCACCAGAGAGCAGAACAGGCAGATTGACAAAGTACACTGATGAGGGGAGCAGCGGATGGGTTAGGAGAGGTCTGCCATTTCATGTGGGTCACTTCTCGGGTGGGGAATGGACTCATGCTGAGGTGGCTTTAACTTCTTAGTCTGTGCTTTAATCAGCTGGCCACTGGGGACAATTTTAGTAGTCAACATGAGCTAAATATACTTTGAACAATTTAGGAAGGTCATATAGATAATAAGAAATAAGTTTCTTCAGATTTGGATTAATCTCTTGATTGTTGATTTATTTAGCATGTAAAATATTATAAGATATATGATACTGTTTTTATTAGATCATATTACATGCTCAAAGTAATACTTGCTTTACCATTATTGATGACCTTGGTTTCTCTATTTTATATAGCTCATTCAGTTGATTCTGAATCATCTTACATTACCAGATCTGTGTAGATTAGCACAGACTTGCAAACTGCTGAACCAGCACTGCTGTGATCCTCTACAATACCTCCACCTCAACCTGCAACCATACTGGGCAAAGCTAAATGACACCTCTCTAGAATTTCTACAGACTCGCTGTACTCTTGTCCAGTGGCTTAATTTATCTTGGACTGGCAATAGAGGCTTCATCTCTGTTACAGGATTTAGCAGGTCAGTACCAAACTTTGTTGAGGTTATTTCACCATCTGACTATATTTATGACATAGTTTGTATAATAAAAGTTTTAATTTTGTACCATGTACTATATAGAAATGAAAGAGAAATACATTTTGTGTAGCATTATGTTCAGAAAGCTTCTGTTCATACAAGTGAATGAATTTTAACATCTTCTTCCACTAAACTTCATAAAAATCTGAAGGAAAACTGCCCTCTACCTCATGTTTTCTAAACTTCAAGTAACTTTCAACAGAGCTTTTCTTTTTTTCTTTTTCATATTTTCAGCACAGATGATTAACACATTTAAAAAACTATTTCCAAATCAAAATCTACCTCTCTAATGTGATTTGTCAGAAATGGAAAACAATTTATTATAGAACATTTTTAATTAAATCTTAATTACATGTGCAATATATCACCCAAATTTAGAAGCTCATTTAAACTAATTATGTTGAAAATGCAATTGCATGCTAAGTAGGGACCACACTTGCAGACCTGCCCAGGTGTTTCTGTTCCTTTCTATTTAAGCATTTAGTTTCCTTACTATTAAATGTCACCTGTGAAGCATTTGAAAGCGTGCACAAGTACATATTCATTTAGTAATGCCATAGTAATTTTTCTAATGATACAAACAGGTGCTTTTCTCTTAACCTGGATAAAGGTTATTCTTTTGTATGTCACAGTATTATCCTACGATGTCATTGGGCTAAATAATGAAAAAAAAATAGAATTTTTGGGAAATTACCTGTTTTTGATTAATGAATAATATACTGTGCTTTTTTTTTTTTTTTAAGCTACAGTTCTTCCTGCTTTGGATACCTCCTTGAGCAGTGGTGTATGAATTAGAAATTTGTATATTGAGCCTTGTTTTCCTATGACTCTGACTATAACATTAAAGACACAATTCCAACAATAAGCATTTGTTACTATTAAATTTGACATAATAGTATTGTATTCAAAATGCAAATATTGATAGTTTATTCAGCAAAGTAAAAAAATCTGCATGAGCCATCATAGTTTATAGTACATGCTGAATTCATGGTTGTACCAAGTTTCTTCTTTTCTGCCAGAAACAGAGCAGGGAAAGGGTCCTTAGTATTGTATTATGCTATTGTGAGTCAGAGTCTAAAGATTTCATAACATTAATACAAAACTCTTTTTGACTATGTCATTTTGCTTAACAGCAGATATCTTTAAAAGAAAACCAAAACATTTTTTTTTTGGCCATGATTCCAGTGAATTTTTATACAATCCACATTAAAAAAAAAATTGTTGGATGTTTGACAGCTATCTAACAGAACACACCAAATATACATACTTCATTCACCAATTTTCCTGTCTGCTAATAAGCCATTACCTAATGGTGACTGTGGGTAGAATGTGCCCTATCGATCATAAACTGTAACTAATTTTGAGAGCAGATACAACAACTTTGTGTCAGTAAGCATCATTTTATATTTTAAGAGTCTTTAGGGTAGCTCTTTCCTCAGTATTTCCCACTATTAGGAATTTTTTGTTTTTATCCTCCCATAAAGTATAAGGCATGATAGTGAGTTTGGGGGACCATGTAGAGATACAAAATAGATGGTTCGCGGTGCATGCTGTGGAAAAAAATAAATAGAAACATAAATATTTCCTTTATACATTTTTATGCATAAAGTAATGCAGTGGCAAACAATGAGTAAAATGTAAAGCAATATTAAATCAGTTTTTAAGTTCTAATGTATGCACAAAAACAAGTTATAGGAAGAAAATTTAGAAATGCTGTTTTTAAAATTCTAGACTCAAAATAGACAGAGATCCTTCACCAAGGTTAAAGCTCGTCTTTTTCTCACCAGCAGTTTTTCTTCCATTTTCAGCTCACCCAGGTTAGTTGCTAAGGGGTTGCTTGAATAATCACAAAATTCCATGCATGTATTTAAGTTCTTTGTATTATACTGTGGTATGTTAGCCAGCAAAATCATAATCTGGACAGCATTTCTTTAAGCATAGCCACGTAGTGTTAAGAAAGTTAAAAAGGTTTAAGTAACAGAGAATTGGGGGGAGGTAGGAGATCCTGGCATTTTGCCTATTGATTGCTGTTGGCCCCCTTGACTTGACTGCTGAATTGATAGTCATTATGGCTTGTAGGCAGCATTCCCAGAATAAACAATAAATATTCATGGCTTGATTATTAATGAATAATCTATGAATAAGTAAGGTCTATTTATGCTCATTATAGTGAAGAAGACTTATTTATAATACTTTAAAGAGAGAAAAATACGTTTTTAAACTAAAGACAAATGATAAACAGCGGCTATTTGGGTAAGTCTTTGGGAAGAACTTTGGTATGGTTTATTTGTGTTGCCTAAAACCTTGCCCTTACAAGGTAGAGCTATGTCACTGGATTTAAAAAGAACTTTAAAGGAATTTATGTTATTCAAAATAGCAGGGAAATAGGTTAAATTGGAATAACAAGAACTTAAAACTTTTAATCAGTTATTAAAATCCTATTCTATCTACAGATCTGTGATTTGCAACTTCAAGTACTGCTCATGCATATCATTACTCATTAAATCACGTATTATAATTCCACTTTCTTTTATAATACTGTTCCCTAAAGCCGTGGATATGCCTTTGCTTCCCTGCCTATTTGTGCTTTAGAGCTTAATCATATCATTCAAAAAACTTGAGGTTTATTTTCCCCTACTCCCCACCCAATAGTTACCCTAACTAACAATCTTGATTTCCACCTCAGGTAGTAGGAATTTTTTACTCCTAACCTCTCTACTTGTTTCCTTCAGAAAACATTCTTGGATGCTTTCTAGATTCAAGAATTTATTAGATGCTTTCATTCTGAATAATTAATATATACAGAGGTGTAAGAACTTATTGCCGATTTATATATTTGTGTATTTGGCTATCTGTGTTTTATACAGTTGTCAGATTGCCATTTCCTTAAATTTTAAGGATTTCTTTCCTCCTCCTCTTAACTATTGCTGGATACTACCACACACAGTTAGGCAGGACATTTTATTTTAAATAGCTTTATTTTGCTTCAAATATACTAAATGATGTTTCAAGTTACTTAGGATTAAAAATTATCTTAAATATACTGTTTTATAAAACTCAGCTAACAAAACATAAGATTAGGAATCAGAAGCCATAGGTATTTATACCTAATGCCCCCTTTACCTTTATATATCAGGCAAGTTGTGAGGATTACTGCCTTTTATTTTGTAATGCATGAACTTAGATTAAATCATTCATTCATGTGATGTTAATTATTTTAGGGTGCAAGTTGCCATTTAGTAAATTACTTCTTATGTACTTCTATTATTGTAAGCAAATTAATTCACCTCATAAGGATAAGCAATTTATTTCTCTCTCCAGAGACTCTTTTTCTCATAGCAGGAGACCGAGTTTGGGATTGTTTATCTGAACTTAGGTCTCCTCATAATACCCTCAATATCACAAAATACTTTATGAGAATTCATAACATGGAATGAGTAGGCTACAGAAAATAAAGAAGTTATGGTTCTCCTTTACAGAGGCCGGTATCATAGTTGAGATAAATAGATGACCATGACAAAAATATATATTAATTACGCATTAAAATAAAACATGAAGATCATTAAAGAAAGAATAAGAATTTTCTTCAGCTAAATAAATTGTTACTTCTGTCTTCATGGTCTGCAGATATTATGAAAGGATAGATAGTGTAGATTTTCTGTGTTTTGGAAGGGATAATATGGGTATATTGACCAAATGGAGTAGAAAATACGCAATAAAGAAAAGTAGACTCAAAATTTATTATAGGTATGATGTACTGTGCTTTCAGAATGTCATTCATTAAATCAGTTTCGGAAGTTTTCTAGTCTGTTAATAGTTGAATTTCTGGTGATTGACATGACATCACTCTGTAAAGTCTTTGGATGAGAAACGTTCAATAATAAGATCAAAGAGAAAAGCTTTGTAAAAGAATTCTACATCCAGTATGAAAAAGAGCTTTGCCAAATAATGTAGATCTCGAGAGATAATATGCGTAACATTTTAAGCATCTTATCTTGAATTATTTTCTGTTTTTCTATGAAATTGAATGTCTTGTAATAATTTCAACATCAGTCTAAGATGTTAAATAGTAAGTTACAAGGAAGATGTCACAACAGTTTAGAAATTTTCTGAGTTGAAAGGAGATTGGTCTAATTGTTTTGTGGTCATTTAATTAAAGCTGTCATTCTCTATACTATGTTCAAAATATATTATCTGGTACTGTGTAGGGGGTATATCTTTGAAGAATTTAGAGTTTTGTTTATTTTTTAGTTCTGTCAACTTATATGGGAATTCCAAGTTTGTAGGAGAAATATACCTTCTGTTTCTTAATTCTCCCCTTGGCAATAGTTGACTTTTTAATGTTCTCAGATCCATTTGTAGTAAGCTAATCATTTCTACTTTTGTATGAAATAAGTGAGAACTTAAGTGAAACAAGTTTTACATTTCCTCTAATAAAAATTCATTCTTCTGATGGTGTATGCTTATAATTGATACAATGCTAGAGTCCTTGCAAGTATATATTTCTGTTTTATGAAATTCACACAGAACATTGTTTTTATAGGTTTCTGAAGGTTTGTGGGTCTGAATTAGTGCGCCTTGAGTTATCTTGCAGCCACTTCCTTAATGAAACTTGTTTGGAGATTATTTCTGAGGTGTGTCCACATCTACAGGACTTAAACCTCTCATCCTGTGATAAACTACCGCCTCAAGCTTTCAGCCACATTGCCAAATTATGCTGCCTTAAGAGACTTATTCTCTATCGAACAAAAGTAGAGGTAAGAGTAACTTACAACTTACATCTTTGCTAATGTGATAGCCAATTGAATATTTAGATGCTTTTAATTACTTGTAATATAGTTTCTGATTTTTAAAGATTATGATGCTTCTTGACCATTCTAAAATCATTAGAGTTGATGCAGGTTTTTAAGAATCTGTTTATTGTATTTTTTTTTTAATAAGGAAATGTTCTTCTCATTCTCTTAAAAATTTTTATGATGCTTTTCATGTTCCCAGATAAGGAGACAAGCAATGGGCTGAGGTGAGCTGAAATACTGGCAGGGAATTAATTAGAGAAGTGGTAGAGGATAGTATACAAAAGGATATTTGCTTGGAAGGGAAGGAAGCTAAATGGAATTTATCTTGCACCAGACTTAGGAGTTAAAATTCTTGATACCATAGTTTTGGAGTCACATTAAAGAAAATTGGAATGAAGGTATAATTTGTTTTACTTGTTTTTTTTTTCTTAAACTAGCTCTAAGACATTTTTCCAGGTCAGTACATATACCACCTATGTCTTTTCATTAACTGTGTAGTGTAATTTATACCATAATCTATTCAACCATTCCTCAAATGCTTAACATTCAAGTTTTTCCAGTTGTATTTTTCTTTTACAGACTTTCTGACAATACCATTCTTTTTGCAGAGTTTTACATAAACTGCAGTTATTGCTATAGGAAAGAGTCGGGGCAAAGAGTATATGACTGAAGCCTGAAGCTTGTTTATGATATATATAATAGTGTAGAAATATAGTTTACTTACTTTCCGCTTTATACATGTTTCCTGTGCTGCAAGTATGTTGGTTTTCTTTCTATTCCTTGGACATTTTGACTTGTCTCAACTCAGGGACTTTTATCTTCTGCCTGTCAGGAATATTCTTCCAGCTTATTACATGACTTCCCTTTTCTCAGCTTAATGTTCAACTTAAATTAAAGATGGCTTCTTGGACACTGATAAAAACGTAGCCTCCTTCTACTTTATTCCTTTCATATCACCCAGTTTAATTTCCTTTTTAGCATCTTTATCACTCTTGAAATTATCTTGTTTCCTTGCTTATTATCTGTCTCCTCACACTAAGATATGTTTCATGAAGGTAGGAGCTTTGTCTGTCTTTTCCATTGCCATGTTTCTAGCATCTGGAAAGTCAGTAAAGGATGGCCATTCAAAATATACTTGTTGAAAGAATGAATAAAATCAATGAAAATACTTTTCTAAAATGATATGCCACTGCTGTTATGCTCTAATGAGTCCTTGCCAGTCTTGAATGTCAGTTTAGTCAAGGTTTTTACCCTCAGTGTTTCAAGTTTGCTCATCTACAACATGAAAATAATAAAAATACAGATCTCATCAGGTCATTGTAAAGATTAATTTAAGGGGGAAATGCTTAGAAGTTACTTAGACTGTAGTATTTACTATATGGAAAGGAAAGTCTATTCTTTATGAACTTTTTTCTTGTAATTCCTTATGTTTATTCTTCCTGATGTACCATTCAACAAAGGATTTTATTACAAGTACATTCATTATATTTCATTTTGCATGTTAATAATGCTTTCATCGGCTCATGCAGCTCTTGTTTTATGTCTAAGAGTATGTTATGGTTTTCTTCACTTAGAATTTATTTTGGTTAAAATTATCCCTTTTATTTTAGAGTCTTAGGTACTATTTTTCCTTTTATTTAACTTTAACTAGTTATTGCTAGTATAAAGGAAGAGATAATTTTTGTATATTTACCTTGCGTCTATTCACATTACTAAATGCTTAATAGTGTTTTAATAATGTTTTACTTATATCTTTTGGATTTCTAGTAGTACAGTTTAATAACTTGGAAATTAGTATGCCTCTTACAATATTTAAAGTGTTACTATATTAGAAATTCATAAATTATGTGGATTAATAGAATCATAACAGGTACACTAACCTCTTAATATAGTAGAAATATTAATATTTAACTTTTTAAAAATATTCACACAGCAAGTATTTGAATAGCTGTTATATACCAGGAACTGTTACAGGCAGCCAGAATATCAGTAGTGACCTAAACAGACAACTCATGTAACTTACTTATTTTATATGCTGTTAATATTGCTTTCTCATAAATATCTTTCTCATTCTTGTTTGATTATCAGAAATGTACTATACCTTTTTAAACCTCCATGATAACACTCATCTTATTTCTTCTTCTATTTCTCTTTTAATATAATGACTTATGCTGAACCTTCAATATATGCCTCAGCTGCTAATCCCCAAATCTTTTATTTTTTTCTTGAGGTAACCTCTGTTTACCATACTGTATGCAATTTAGAGGAATAGGATCACATATTCAGGTGTGTGTTACTGCGCCACACTCACTACCAAGACGCTGACAGCCCTACATCAGAATCCATTGTGCCCTATCCTCACATTTGTCTCCCTCCTTTTCCTTTCCCTCCATAGCTTCAATTCTACAGTTGTATTTCTAGAGCTTGTTACTCTGATTTTACCTGTTACTTGTTTTTATCTGTAAATCCCACCTATAAGTGATAGCAGAATTTGTCTTTCTCCTTCTGACTTATTTTGCTTAGCAGAATCCCTACCAGTTCCATCCATGTTGTCTCAAAAGTCAAGAGTGTATCTTTTTTTTATATATATATATATATATATAGCTGGGAAGTATTCCATTGTGTATAAATACATTTCTTAAAGCACCCATTTGTCTTTGGACACTTAGGTTGTTCCTGTGGCATAATACAGTTATTCTGAATATTTGCTGCAGTGAATATAGGAGAGTACATATATCTGTCGGTACTAGTGTTTTGCATTTTTCCAGTAGATATCTAAAAATGCAATTCCGGGATCATATGGTAGATCTGTTTTTAAGAAACTGAGAAATTTCCATACTGTTTTCCCTAGGGGCTAGCCCAGTCTACATTCCCACCAATGTAGTAACTAAGATACATATTATAATTCAGTTTAAAATATAAACTAGTAAGTTATAGTCTATAACTATTTTCTGGTCTAAAATATCTAGTGCAAAAAAATGGATTTTTTGTCTTTTATGTTTATTATAAACAATGTCAGTTTGAAGTCTTAGTTGTTTATTATAAACAGTCAGTTGAATAACAATTAGTTATTCAAATTACATTTATAAAAGTTTATATAATAGCTTGTAGAATCACTACATAATGAACTGCTTCAAGCAAATCATTTATATTGGCCAACTCTGAAGTTAATATAGTAGTAGAGAGCAGCATTGGGACATATAATCCTCAAAATAATTTTGGCATATAAATTGATAAGTTGTTGATATCTATGCTACCTAGGTGGTGTGCTCTTAAGTGGTTAGCTATAGCCTAGCATGTTGCATATTGATTAACTCAATGAGAACCCAGTAAAATTAAACTGTGTTAGAATTGCCTTATATGCTGATGGGACTCCTCTTTGAGCCACTAGTGAAATAGACAGAGGGCCTAGGACTCTGGACCTCTCTCTCTCTCCATGACAGATTACACAAAAAAGGTGCTGCATTGACTACTGACCTTCAAGTATAGGCTTGTCAGGAGCCAGGGTTGCATCCTGTTGTGGGCACAGAGTACTGCTTTGTATACAGTAAGGTAACAACATTGCAGGTTTCAGGTTGTTGGAGATGGTCATGTTGGGGAATATTTTTAGAAGAAATCATCCTGCAGCTGTGATTTAAGCTTAGATTGTTTACCCTGTGATCCCTAGAATAACTAGTGAAGTGAATTGACAAGTGAGCTAATTTTATTTTTACTGAATTTGGTAATCTTTGAAGGTTTCATAGACAACACTTTAGGCAAAAGATGAAAACACAGAACAGATATAAGAATCTTTAGTTTCTTCTACGTAGTTTCTTCTAAAATCCTTGACAAGGAAATAATGATAGTAAAGTTACATATAAAATGATTAGAAAGACTCTTATCCCTATGAAAAAGTAAAAGATTTTTGTCACTCCCAATATAATATGTATGGTAAATCCTGATGGTAAGCACTTCTTTAGCCATATATGTGATGTATTTTCATTACAGGAGGGCTCATTAAATAAAATTTTAGATACTTAAATAGAAAACATTTATTATGAAATAATCTTAGATTTACAGAAAAGTTGTATAAATGTAGATGTTTCTATTTTATGTATGTCTTTTTCCTGAATCATTTGAAAACAAGTAGATGATATAATTCCTCTTTCCCTAAATGGGTAAATATATATTTACAGCCTACTCTTAATACTTACGGGATGATGTCCTACCTCTCAGTTAGTGTCTGTATTTGAAGTCTAAGAGGTAATTAAGGTTAAATGAGGTGATTGGGGGTGAAAATCTATTAAGAATGGTGTTCCTATAAGAAGAGATTAGGGCCCAGACATAGAGAAGGAAGACCATGTGGAAACACTGGGAGATTGCCAGGCTTACGCCAACTAAAATCATGAAAAAAAAAATTTTTGTTGTTTGAGCTGCGTAGTCTGTGGTACTTTGTTATGGCAACCTTAGCAAACTAATACTGCTTGTAGAGAGTGACATAAGAGTAGTATTCTAATTTAATTGCATAAGAAATGTCTTTAAGGAAATCCTGTGCATTTGCTCAAACAAATGGATTGTGTTAGGAGTTTGAACCTGTTTACCATTTCTTTGGGGGAAAAAAATTTGGAGTGGGAGGTAAGAGTGGGGCATGATAGGTAACTCAGTAAGAATGTCATTCTGTTGCTTAGCAGCAGACAAGAAAACCAAGAGTGTTTTTTAAAAGTTGGAGTTATAAATGGAACACCTGCATCCAATTTTGATTGCCTCACTTCAAGAATGATAGAGCATAAATTGAAAAAATCTCAAGAAGTGAAAAAACTGATTGTAGGCATTGTGGAGGACTAGTATTTGAGAGTAATCCATAAGTATTGTTCAGTAACTGCTTACTCGGCCTGCTAGGCCAGGCGGACAGTTTTAAGGACCTTCACCTTCATGAGTCAGAAAACAACAAAAATAGTTAATCTTTACTTTGGCTGGACATC